CCCCCCCCCCCCCCCCCCCAAAAAAAAAAATCCTATCACACTTCATGCGTTAAGAAAACTGTTATGAGCCACATTTTTTCCCCAGGTACTTACTTTGCACAGTTGGGTCTGTGTACATCAAAACCAAGGAAGCCCCTGCCAAAGACATTCTGAAAGATCTTGTAGAAATGTGTCGTGGTATACAACATCCTTTGCGTGGACTCTTCTTAAGGAGTTACCTTTCTCAAGTGAGTAGGGATAAATTGCCTGATATTGGATCTGAGTATGAAGGGTAAGTGCATCAATTGTCTTAGTTTTTATTGCTTCTGCTTATAAGGGCTTTAGAGGGAGTTGGTCGATAAAACATAGATTTCAATAATTGCAACCCCAACAATGACATCTGAGTCTTTGTCCCAAACTGTTCTCTCTTCTTAAACTCTGTGAAGTCAAGCTGTTAACTTCATTTTGGGACAGAGGAAGTATATGAATTTGATCTTTTCAGTCCGTCTGGTCTGGAATATTTGGTTGGGTCGAGGACCGATTATATTTAGGTGTGGTCTTCGACCCATGATTTTTAGATTTGGGTCTTTGATCTAGTCTTGTACAGATGAACAACCCTACATATTACAAAGCTAGTTAGATTGTTGAGTGCAGAATTCTCTCTTCGATTTTGACGGGTATTCTTGTCACAAGACACTTCTCCATCCACCCTCCACTTTAACAACCCCGCATTCGAATGATGTGTGGTGTCGTTTCTATGCCACCGCTCTCTTTTTGAATGATAAAATCCAATTACTTGAACTTCTTTTGTGGTATTGCTGGCATTTGCCTTTTCTCATTGTTCGTACTGATGATAATGTAGCACCAAAGGTTTTCACTTTTACAATAGCTAATCTTGTGACTTTGTGTTGATGCTTGATGTAACCTACTTACACCAAGAAGAAGCATTTCCCTACCACAAAGGTCCTTGACACATACTTGGTGTAATCACTTACACCAAGAAGCATGTCCCTACCATAAAGGTCCTTGACACAAGTTCTGATCCACGCTTACATATTCCGAATCACCCTTATGTGCACCTGCAACATTCCTAAAGCTCCATGCTCCTCCAAATTACTTTACAATATCATAAGCCTTATCCTAGACTATGAGCACCGTGTGCAGGTTGTTACTATGCTCTCTATATCTTTTCCTAAGACGTCTTTTTAGGTGAATTGCCTAAATTATTGACCTGCCTAGCATGATGACAAAGTAGTTCTTGATCACTGAATCACTCTAGTTTCATGTCGCACTCAGACTAAATCACTCTTTCCCATAGTGTGTGTGTGTGTGTTTAGGGTAAGATTCAAATGAGAAAGACTTCTTATAATGAGAAATCCCAAAAAATAGTTAAAAAATAAATCCCATCCATTGGTCTTAAATTTTCCGTAAATCTCCTCATTCTTCTTCCTCTTAGCCTCAGCTAGCATCTTCTCCACCTCTCATTTATCACTTTAACCTCGTCATGTGACTCGTTCACCATACTTCTCTCTTTCTTTTATGTAGATGCCATGAGTTATTCAAAACATGTTTTTTTTAAAAATTTTGTACATCATCATTTAGTTCATTCCACCACCACGAATCCTTTCGGTCCTTGTTTCTCCGAGATACCAGCCCTAGAGTATCCTTGCCAACGCCTCTAATGATGTGAGCCATGCTACTACACAAAAGATTGGCATCCCATGTGTGACCTGTTCTCTTTGGCGAACCTCGCTTTGAAAACTGTTGCTGTCATCCTTTTCAAATATTTCTGTAAGATCCTTGATCTGCCATCTCTTATTAAGGTATTGACCCAGCCACCCAGGTGCTCCTCAGTCCTCTCCTATTAAAGTAAGAGTTTGAAACGACCAGCTCATGAGCAATGGCGAAATCCTTGAACACACACCTTCATTCTTTACAACGAATCAAAACCCCTGTGGACATCTCGGTAAGAATCTGACCCCTCCAAAATTTCCCATTGAATTTACCCCTATAAAAACAACCTTCTTGCAGAGGAATCCTCCCTCTGACTTCTTGGACTCTCCTAACCACTAATTTGATCACCATAATCCCATGTTGAAATTAAAATAAAAAACAGAAGAAACCATTAGCAAAAGTGTGTAGAAGCTGTGCTGCGAGGGCGGTACGAACGGTGGTGGCTTAAAAGAAATTAGGGGTTCGTTTGGCAAATCTTCGCTCACAGAACTCAAAAATAAAGCAATTGGTGGTGTGACTAATCCAAAGAAAATAAATTTTTTCTCAATGACTTAATTTGCCTTAAAGAAAGGATGAGGCCACTGCCCTTTCATCTCCCATCATTTTGCAATATAAATCATCACATCACCATGGGACTAGCAAGTTTATTTCATTCCTCTTCAATTGGTCCACACACATAGAGCTTTGCTGTTATCCTACACATTATTCCTCAAACTGTAACATCTTATTTAAGGTTGAATAAAACAAGTGAAAAATATGTAGGCAAAAACATTTATAACATTCAATTCCAACCACACACTTTTCACTTTAAAACATTTATGTTAAACTCCTTGTCTGATCAAACTGAACTTATAATTTGGGATGGAAGGAGTAATAATTAATAAATATTTACAGAAAAGGATCAATTGACTAGAAAACATTGCATTACTCCACCAGAATTTTGGTACTTGAGAATTGAGATTACTCATTATTGAAAGATTTCTATCATTGAATGCCGAGTTATACCAATGGAGAAATCATTGGCTGTATAGCATAAATACCCATGAAAGATTAGCTTTCTGGATTGCAATAAACCACTATAAATAAAAATTAGAGAAACAACTGGAACTACATTATGCTTTCGTAATAAGAAATGAAAATAATTTTGGGAGGGACAGAAAAGTCGGAAGATTACCTTCTCTCAATAGGTAAAAGGGAGCAGTACTCTTTTATGTCTCTTTCCTCAGTTGGTAAAACTTGTGCTCAAAACTTCAAATCATTTTTAGGCATTTGTGTTTCTTTTGGGTGACACATAATGCAATTTCCTGCAGGGATGCAGACACTGTCATGGACGCTGTAGAGTTTGTTCTTCAAAATTTCACAGAAATGAACAAACTTTGGGTTCGCATGCAACAGCAGGTTGGTGTAAACACCTGGGGATGCCATCACCTGCTCTCCAATGTTACGCCCTCTGGCTCACGTCATCCAGGCATGACCTGTGGTCAATGGGCAGCTGTCGGAAGATGGCTAATGGTTTAATGTTTAAATCTATCCATAGACTGAAACTCGAAACAATGCTTTCTAATCTGCAGGGACCCACCAGGGAAAAGGAGAAGCGAGAAAAGGAAAGAAATGAGCTTCGTGATCTTGTAAGTTGTAAGAAGTGGCCTTGAATTCTAACATTGGTTTGCTAAGCAACAAAGCAGTGCACTTAGGCGAGGGTTTACTCTTTTTTGTTAGGTTGGCAAGAATTTGCATGTTCTCAGTCAAATTGAGGGTGTTGACCTTGACATGTATAAAGAAATTGTGCTTCCTAGAGTCTTGGAGCAGGTGAAACTTAAACAGCCTTTCCTTGTGTTTAACTTGTCTAACAACGTAAAATAATAATAACATATTCATTTTTTACTTGGCGTAGGTTGTTAATTGTAAAGATGAACTTGCCCAGTGCTATTTGATGGATTGCATAATTCAAGTATTTCCCGATGAGTATCACTTGCAAACTCTTGAAACATTATTGGGTGCTTGCCCCCAGCTTCAGGTGCGTGAAATGCATTTTCCTTCTGCAGGAGCTGTTAAATGAATACACATCCTCTTATGTTTATAGGTAATGCAACATATTTACTTTGGAAGAAAAATAATTATAAGGACAAAGAGGAAATGTCAGAACTTGCGCAAGCAAATTCAAGAAAATGATAATTTAACTTGGACAAGCATATTCAAGAACATGTCAATTTTCATTGCATTTTGTCACGTGATATTTTGCTCAGACACGGGGTTTGTCCTCTGCATGATGAAATATTTACAGTCCCTCTCTCAGCTACCTCAAATTATCTCTTAACGTCATTTAATCTCCAGCCATCAGTTGACATAAAGACCGTGCTTTCTGGCCTGATGGAAAGGCTCTCAAATTATGCTGCTTCTAGTGCAGAAGTAAGTTGTTTAAGTTTCAAAGAAATTTTCACGAATCAGATATTATACATTGCTTGATTTTAATTAATCTTTCTACAGGTCTTGCCCGAGTTTTTTCGAGTAGAAGCTTTTGCAAAACTCAACGTTGCCATAGGCAAGGTAAATCTACTTGGTATGCTGCAAGGGTATATCTTAGAATATAAATCTCTCCATCCCATACAAAGAGTCATGTTTTACCTAATGAAGACAAGTTTTCAAGAAATTTTCCAAAATAGAGTAACAAACAACTTTAATATGATTAATTTAGTGAACTAAAAAAAATGTTCATAAAATGCAAGCATCATTTATGACTGAAAAAAGTCATACCTTGCTAAAAATAATGAGTTTACCTGGGTGAAACACCACTTTTTTTATAAGACGGAGGGAATACAATGTGTAGAGAATGCTAACCTAAACTTTTGGGAATGTTTTTAAAGTTTTATTGACATTTCTTTATATCAGAAGTGATGAAGTAGATGTATCAACTCATTCTGGACCCCCTTTTACAAAAAAACCAGAGGGGACAATGTTAACTAAAATTAACTTGGAGCAGTATTTGAATGCTTTTATTTAAGATGCACAAAGCCAGTTTTAGCTATGGAGGATTTGAGGTAGAAAGGCTCATTGAATAGTTTCTTAGTTGGTAAAGGAATTTTGCAGAAAAGGAATGTGGTTGTATGATACCTCTTAAGCTTACATAATCACACATTTGAAAGCAGCGTGTCAAAAAAGGACTTGACGGCTTAAGAAAAACATAAAGTTGTGTGACTTAGCACATGGTGTGCATGTCACGAAAAGGTGAAAATGTTGTTGGACGACGTAGGAATATCATTATGCCGTTTGACATGAGATAAAGGTCTAGTTTTTATTATTATTATACTGTTCTTCATTTAGCACATTATATTTTATCTCATTACCTCTTTTGTAGAATGTCCCAACATGAAAGGCATTCAATGTAAAATTTCATCACTACTTGTTTTCATGATTTTTCAGTGTTAACCATAGTTATTAGGGGCACAAGGTGCATAGAGGCACAAAGGGGGGCTGGTGGTCTGGTGGTCTGGTACGCTGAGGCGTTAGGTGCATCTGAGGCATAACTACTTGGTGAAAAGGGAAAAAACAAATATTTATACAAATTCCACATTAATGATGGATATTGTCCAAACACATACAAAACACAAACTTTTTCGAACGGAAGTGCACCTTCATTTATTTAAGAGACAACCAAACACCAACATCCAACAAATCTAACACACTACCAGGCTAACCAAACTATTGCTGAGGATACATTAAATAAGTAAAAGTTCTAACTTGATACTTAATTTTGAAACAAATAACCTCTACTGGGTGCATAGTTGTGAAAAGCGCACCTGAGGCGCGATGCGCACGAAGCGCAGGGGTCTGTGCATCAAGCTTTGTGATGCGGGCGACGTACAGGAGGCGCGCGCATAACTGTGCATCATCGCATCATGCGGTGCGATCTGAGGCGCTACAAGGCGCGCATCACGTACACATCTTTAAATTTTAATTTTTTTCTTTAATTTTTTATCGATTAGTGACAATTGGTTGCTGTCGGAAAGATGTCGCCTAGAGTAATTGACCGCTGGTCTGATGTTTTTTCAGGAGCCGACCCGATAAGAGCAACCCAGATTTCATTTATTTTTTTAAAAAACCCTAGAACTCCATCACTTGTCGACTTGGACTGCATTGAAGTCACAGTCCAGATCCGAAGCCCCTCTTTATTTATTTATTTTTTTATTTTTAACTTCAATTGCTTTTGATTTTTGTATGCGCTTGACATTTGTGAAAAAAACTGAAATTAAACTTACTATTTATTTCAGTTTTTTATTTATCTTGCATTTTTGCTTTGAAATTAAATTTACTATATATTTGTCGGGTTTGAGAATAAAAAATGATGTAGTATACTAGTATTTGAGGTTTGAGAATAAGTTTAGTAAGCTAGTAGCTCCTTTTATTATTTGTTTACACAATATTTTTTTCAGTTTTTTTGTGAGGTTTCCCCCCTTTTTAACTTTTTTTTGTATTTATATTTTGTACACTCTTTCAAGTTTCAAGAATGTAAGAATCTCTAAATTTCAAGGGTCACAAAAACAAATAGGAATGACACCATTTGCCTAATTTGTAACAAAATCCATGAAGTCTATACTTTGATTCTTTGTTGCTTTCTAAGGTTTTCGTATGCTTTTCAACATTTTATATGCACTATTACTCTTTTAGAGATGCTATGCTACTTATGCCTCAATGTGCGCATTGTGTTCGTGATGCGCGCGCATCAATAGCGCATCGCGCATCGAGGCGCTAGAGCCCCTTTGTGCATCGGTGCGCATCGCGCCTTAAATAACTATGCCCCCTGGGTGTCTTCTTCTTTCCGTGCACCTCCTCATTATGGCTCTTCCAGATATTGTAGCAAATGGCAGCATAGACAGCCCCTATAAAGAATTTCCTCTTCCTTGGCTTGATACTGGTTAGCCAAGCTTCCATATCAGGTTGAGACTTAGGTTGCATATTAGCTCCTAGCCAAATTGAGAGACTCTTATAAATTTTTGTAGTATAAGAACAATCGAGGAATAAGTGCTGTATATCCTCATAAATTTGCTAAGTCTTCTTTTTGTAAGTAGCCTCCCTTGCATTAAAGCCATAGTATAAACTGGTGTTTAGGCAAGCTAAACTTATTCCACACCATGGTCTCCCAGGTAGGGGAAGTCCTATCTCTAATTAGCCATTTATAGCCCAGGTTGATACCAGAGTTTACTTCTTGAGGCATATCAGTAAATAACTCTTTTACATGGGCCATCTTTTTCCAGTAATAACATACAAAACACAAAATTATTAAGACTAGATAATGTGAAGGTCAAAGTTTTGGTTACGTCCAACTCTTAAATTTCAAAATCAAGCAAAAATAAATCACAAAACTACCAAATTCTAAAGTAGCATATGCTATATTTCAATATGTCACTAAAGTGCGGTTCTTGTGACATGGTGTCTATGTCATATTATGACACCTCCAATCCTGTATGTCTGGTCATACTTAGGTTACATCTCGGGTCCTCATTGTGTATCATCTTTCTCTTCTTCTTAGGTCTATTTTGTTCTCTCTCCCCACACCCATCTGATCCGTTAGAGACGCACAGTGGAAAGGCTGATTAAGAAAAATGTATTGCCTTAATTGATTTATAAAAAGATCTCATGTTCTCTGTCTTCTTGCATATTGTATGGCTTTATAAGCCTGATGATGAAAAGAAAATTAAGCACGGTCCATTTCTGTGATGCGCTCAGAAAGCCTCAGACGGTTCGGACATCTGATGTCTCTGAGGATGCTTGACGATCTGACAATAGATCTTTTGTTCTCTTTTTCCTTACATCCCAATGATTTTTTGTTTTTTCACATTGAAGGAGGACACTTTAAACACCCCCCAACATTTCTAAACCCTCCAGCAAGATGTTATTTTGCATGATCAGTACCCCTTTTATCACTTTCTTCATGAAAGATGAAACCACATTGTTCCATGCTGTATCATTTCAACTACTCCCTCCGAACCAAAATGGTCAACATCACTTCTTTTCATGCCGAATTCACTTATTACAGGCGGAATCTTCCGAACCGAGCTTGTAGAGGTGATTTGAGTTCATAAAGAGAGATAGAGTTAAAGTATTAATCCAGATTCTTCATATGTAACAAAACAAGGAGGTTGCTCCATGAGTCCATGTATATCGTATACCCTCAAGGTCTCCACCCAAAAAACTGCATTATTCATATCCAAACAGTAAAATAGCCAATTGGTCATGGCAGATCTAGGTAAAATAAATCGCACAGATGTAATTCTTGCAATGGGTGAGGTGGTGTCTGGTGCCTATGTAATTCAGTCCAAAAATTTGAGTATACACTTTTTCAACAAACTGATCTTTAAGGCAATCAATGTTGTCATTTGCAATGATGATGACTGGATGTATTATGCTTGAAGTATTATGCATGTAGAGCATTCATATTCTACAATGATGATGGTGGTAGCGGCGGCGGCAGTGGATGCATTTCGCTTGAATTATTATTTACGTGGAGCGTTTGTAGGAATGATTTTTTAAAATTATACATCTAGGTGGGGCCATGAATTGTATTTGCCATGCACGCGTGTGTTACAGTTGCTATGCATATGGTTTGCATTTCCTAGAAGGATGATTGCTTGAATACCATCATGAAGAAAAGCAATTGTTTTGGAGAACTCAACATCTCCTAACATTATGTTCTTTACATTTGTTTGCTTCCAAAGCCTGCTATTGCCAACATTCAACGTTTCCTGTACACTTACAATAGCTCATCCAACATATGAAATTCCAAATGACATGCCAGTGTAGTTATCATTCAGTGACACCAGAATACTAATGGGCCCATTATCGGGATGGAGGGCCCATAATCATTCCAAAAGGCATGCCATTGCAGTCTAATTTCATTTGTGATGACGACAGTGGCCTATCCTTGCACTTTACTAAATGGAGGATGTACAATATGCCCTAGCCTTTTTTACAAGCAGTTATGTCTTTTCTCAAGTAACATAGACTTTCTTTTTATGCAGGTAATAGAGGCTCAAGATGATATGCCTGTTGCTGGAGTTGTGACCTTGTATGCATCTCTTTTGACATTCACTCTGCATGTCCACCCTGACCGCCTTGACTATGTAGATCAAATATTGGTGGGTTAGCTTGTGGTTATTATAATAACTCAGCAATATACCCACTTAAGTAGCATCTGGGTTTTCGTTCTTTGATATATACATGTATGTATGCATGCACCAAGTGTGTGCATTTTTTCATAGTTAACATATTAACCAATCAATTTCATTTCTCACTTCCAGGAGGCATGTGAGAAGAAACTTTCAGGAAAAGGGAAGCTTAAGGACACCAAAGCAACCAAACAGATTGTCACCCTTCTCAGTGCTCCATTAGACAAGTATAAAGATATAGATACTGTACTAATGCTTTCTAATTATCCTTGTGTTATGGAGTACCTTGATGATGCAACAAAGAAAGAGATGGCTAATATTATAGTTCAAACTATTATGAAAAATAAGACCTGCATTTCAACTGCTGAGAAGGTATGAATGTTTAATTTAAAATAAAGAATTACTTCGATGTTTCTTGCTTTATGGCTTGAATTTTTTCCATGAGCAGGTTGAAGCACTTTTTGAACTAATGAAAGGGCTACTAAGAGATTTAGACGAGACTCTTCCTGATGAGGTTGTTTATATGTTCCTTGTTACTCCCTGCGTCCCAAAATAAACTTCCCGTTTTGACTTCACATGGAGTTTAAGAAAGGTGAAATTTTGTTGAAATTTGTGCAGAGAGAGAATGACTGAACAATAGTTTACTTCTTTAAAAGGAAATACGAAGATTAATTATGGTCATCCAAAAAGGAAAATGGGAAGATTATTTAGTGACAGAGGGAGTATATAATCGGGTGCATGACTTAAAGTTGAATATCAAACCTTTTTTTCTTTTAACTGACTGTTCATTAATTTCTTAAATAAAATTATTAGAATAATATCGTATGTACCTGAAGGGTTTTCCATGGAATATTTCAGCTTGACGAGGAAGATTTTCAAGAGGAACAGAATTCTGTTGCCAGACTTATTCAGATGCTCCACAACAATGATCCAGAAAAAATGTTAGAGGTAATAAGCTCTCTATATTTATTTTAAAAATTCTGTATACTATATACTCCAATTGCAGTTTTAGTACTGCAGTTTTTCATTTCTGGAAAACTAAAATTTGTCTGCCTCCGCAGTACCTATTATGATTAAGATCTGTTTAGTTTTTCTTTTTCGGTAACATTCATGTTTGTTTTCTCTTCAGTAAATAATTAACTTAAGAACATGACATTTTCTGATGCAGATCATTTGCACCGTGAAGAAGCATATTTTGGCTGGAGGACCAAAAAGAATTCCATTCACTGTCCCTCCCCTTGTTTTTAGTGCTCTGAAGGTTTGACTCTGTTTTGCATCACTAATTTTTGTTATGCGATGAATGCAACTGACTTACACGTTAAAGAAAATCATTTTAGTCATAAAGCAAAAAATGAGATGCATGTATTCTCCACTGAATCTCCCTTAACTCATTTTCAAGAAGAAAATGTGTTCCAAAAAATTGAAAACATGCTGTTACTTTTGGTATGGTGAATGGACTTCTAAACAATGTTGAGGCTAACCATCTCTATTTTGTAAATCTCTCTTTTTTATCTAATTAGTTCTATGAAAGATGAGAATAAAATAATAGCCGGGATACTGCAGTAACACTCAAGGGATGCACAGCACCATACACCCCCACCCTCCTGTAAAAAGAAGTAATGTTTTTTATATGATAATAAATTGACCTGCTCTTCTTATTACTGGTGATGAAGTTGGCTCGGCAAGTGCAAAGTCAAGACGATAAGGATGGTGCTGAGGAGGTCTCTGCTAAGCCAAAGAAAATATTTCAAATCTTAAATCAGGTATACAGTTGGATGAAGCACTCTTAAGTAGCATCAATGGTGTTAACTTGGTTCGTTTTCTTCCATTTTCTTAAATCCTTAGGCCTCCAAATCTTTAGGCCTCCTCAAGTTGACTTATTATTATTATAATTATTATTACTATTATTATTTGTTATTATTATAAGTAAACTCTATATCTATCTCATACCATCAATGGTTTTATACGATAAATGGATAAACACATGTGCTTGTCTCTCATTTTCCACTTTATTTCAGACAATTGAAGTTCTGTCAAATGTCCATGCATCTGAATTAGCACTGAGGTTATATTTGCAGTGTGCTGAGGTACATGAATTTGGATTTACACTTTTAGAAGACTATGAAAGCTGCTCTTGATCTGCAAATTTCTTTTTCCCCATTATCAGGCTGCCGACGACTGTGATCTAGAACCTGTGGCCTACGAATTCTTTACCCAAGCCTATATATTATATGAAGAAGAAATTTCGGTAACTGGCAGTTTTATCTTCAGTATATGTGCCTCTTTTTTTTTTCTCCTGGGCTGATTTTGCTGTATGAGCATTTAAAATTTTCAATTTGGATTTTATTTTGATAGGACTCTAGAGAACAAGTGACTGCTATTCACTTAATGATAGGAACTCTTCAGAGAATGCATGTATTCGGCATTGAGAACAGGGATGCATTAACGCATAAAGCCAATGGGGTAATTAATAAGTTTATTTCTACTATACTAGAAGAATATCTGACCTCATTATTTTCTGACCTCTTTATTACTATTACTCTTTAATTAATAAGGCCCCATGTATCTTAAGCTTCAGTGTGTTTAGAATTCAGGATAACTTACCTTTACTTTCTAACTACCTACTAGTACTCTGCAAAGCTTTTGAAGAAACCGGATCAGTGCAGAGCTGTCTATGCTTGCTCACATCTCTTCTGGGTCGATGATCAGGACAACATCAAGGATGGGGAGAGGTGGGTAGCCTTTCACCAGCATCCATAGGATACTTATTTTCCACTATAATTTTGTCATTGACTAAAACAAAGAATAATTGATAATTTTTTTCAAACATGACATTTAAACTGGTTAGTGCTGTGAACTTTATTGGTTCATGCGAGTTGATTGCTCAGGGAGTCAAAGGGTGACAGTTTGGGCCAGACATGATTAAACAACAGAACATAAGCTGGTTTGGGCCAGACATATTTGGATTCAGTCCTTAAATGGACAGGCTCAATTAGCCCGTTTATTTATCCGGTCATATATGGGTTGCCTGATTTGACGGTCCAAGGCCCGACCCACACAAGTTGCCACTTCTAAGAACACTAGTTATTTGTAGAAACCTACCTGATCTTATATGTAAAGTTCCCAAGAGAGTTTTCTTTTTTTGTACCCTTTTCCCTTCCAGGGTCTTGCTTTGCTTGAAGCGTGCCTTGCGGATTGCAAATGCTGCTCAGCAAATGTCGAATGCAACCCGAGGCAGCAGTGGATCAGTCACACTGTTCATTGAAATTCTGAACAAGTACGAGAACATCAAAACACTTATCTCTCTCTTTTTCCAATTCAATAATTAATGCTTTTAACATTTCCAAGCAAATCGATGACTGAGGTGGTCCATGTTTGATACTATTAGGTATCTATATTTCTTTGAGAAGGGGGTTTTGGAGGTCACGGTGGCTCTTGTCCAGAGCTTGATTGAACTGATCACAAATGAGATGCAGAGTGAAAACACATTATCAGATCCTTCTGCAAATGCTTTCTTTGCAAGCACACTGCGATATATCCAGTTCCAGAAGGATAAAGGCGGAGCTGTTGGTGAGAAGTACGAGGCAATCAAATCGTGATGAATGTCCTCTCTGAATTTTCATTCTTCATCCTCCCGAAAAAGAAAACGAATCAAAGCTCTCACCATATACATCACAGCAGAAAAAGCCATCTGTCTTTCGAGTTGAGTTGCCGACAGTAGTGTGTCAAGTATTCCTGATTTTTTACATGGTTTTGTGAACTATACGAAAATGGGTTTTAGAGATTGTTTTAGGTTTTCTTTTTGCCATCCTTTTCTTTGGCCTCTTTTTATATTTTGGGTTTAGAGATTGAACTGGGGATTTTTGACATTGTCGTCAACATACAGAACACTTTTTTTGGTGATGTAGTATTATCGATTACTGTCATGATGTGTACTGTAAAGCAAATTTTAGAAAATTTCTCAATAAATTGTGTTGAAGAAGAAATGTTGGAGAATGAGCACATGAACTTTTTATTTTAAATTATGATAGGAAGATGTTGCCTTAAAAAAAAAAAAGGAAGATTTTGCATTTTAAACATTTAAAAAAAATGCTAAATTTTGATTGTAACCTTCCCCTTTCTGCCATTGGTGTTGTGTATCTTGTTGGTGAGTTTGTGACTGTGAGGGAAGAATTGTAACATCCAACCCGTATGACCTTAAACTATCTAAATTTAGGTGACACGGGATGATTGACTTTTGGAAACATTTTCAAATGAATACAAAGCTCAATTAAATAAAACCAAAAGGCATCAAGTGCCAAAACTTAATTAAATGGATTGATCTTTTAAAAATATGCTACCTCCATCCACGGTATATGTCTAGTTTTGATTTTTTGCAATCAAAATTAATAAACTTTGATCATTAAATAAAAATAATTTATACTGTATTAGATATTGATACACGAATTTTTTTCATTAGTTTTATCTTATAAAATATTTTCAAGATATGTTTTTATCTATTTAATATACTATGTAATTTTTATTTATTTATAGGTTAAATATGATTTTGATTAATCGCAAAACTTAAAACTGGACAAATACTAGGTAATATATTTAATGCGAGAGTAAAATATTACTATGAGTACATCATTAAACAACACAATGCATAAACAACATTTGTAAAAAACATGCCTATCAACCTGTCATTCTATCATCTCGTCGTCCACTAGAATGTATCGCATAATTCTTACTTCTTACTTGCGTATAGACAATAAGAAGGCCACATGCTTAGCAATGACAATGAGTGTTACCATAAGTGTTACTATAACGCTAGAAGTCAGTAATACATTTATAAATGGGTGGTGATAATCACACCTCACAAAAATATTAAACTCACCCCACACCTATTCAATTCTATTACATTAAAAAAATTACTTCACATTTTTCTGAATTGCTTCTAATTTCATGATTCACAAAGACTCGTAAACATTTAATATTTTTAACATTGTGTTAAAACTATAATTTTTAATTTTAATTTTAATATTCTAATAAATATATAGCATGCGTTACATAATTTTTTTTATTTGATATGATCTTTTTTTTGAAATAAAAGTAGTAGCTTTAATAATTATAGACATCGATCTATTAACATTTATATAATTTTTTTTGAAAAGTAATAAAAAGGAATAATGGGGAGTAGTTTTAAAATTTTATATAAAATATTGTTTTTTTAAAGGAATATATAAAAAAATTTTATATGTAATAAAAATGAATATATATATATATATATATATATATATATATATATATATATATATATATATATATATATATATATATATATATAGACACACACATCATACTAAATATCTTTCATACAACCATGTCTTCCTCTTCATCATTATCAAATTCTTTTTCTTCGATTGGTAGCTCTTGTAATTATGAAGTGCATAAATTAATCGACTAAGTCATAAATCATCCTGTTATGCAAGAGATACTGCCTAAATTATAGGAAACAATTGAACAGTTTCAGGAAACAAAATCATCATTAAATTCAAGACACCGAAAATGTAGATTCAATGTAAGAAATCATGAATTTGGTCATGAGAAACATTTTTCTAATGACTTAGAGGAAAACTCAATGTACCTTGATGATATGTTTCGTCAAGGTTTCGAATGAGAAGACATGTCTTCATATAAATTGTTGGAATAATTACCAGCATTAAGCCATATTTTCAACAATGGTGTGATGCAACATGACGAAAAAGACTCTCAACACCACAAAACAATACGACTGTATATGAGTGTTAGCGTATGCAGCGCCAAGTGCTCCTATGGGTTACTCTGTGCGTATAGGTGTTTCAACAACTAAAAATCCTTAAAATAGTTCTATCAAGCTATTTGTGGAGCTTTTCAAGATGAGTATTTGCATTGAACCAACACTAATGTTATTCGTTAGCTGTTGCATATCGCAGATAGATGCAGCTTCCTTGTAATGTTAGGAAGTAGGAAGGACATGCATTAGAAATGGATAAATTATCTAGAAGAATGGAAGGGCCAATACCCAAGGGGATATAAAGGGTCACTCATAATGATTTTAGAGGCTGTGGCCATGTTTGATTTGTGGGTTTGGCATGCTCTTTTTGTGGAGTAGCTGTTTGTAACTAAAGAGCGATAAAAAACAAGAGCTAATAAACATAGACACAATCACAAGATGATGTAGGGACATGCCTCCACGCTTTGTATTAAGAAAACTGACTCAAAAAATCAATACAAAGAATCCCTCACAATTTTTGTGATGATATAAACCCGATATGGCTACATCTATTTATAGGGAACTAGTTAGTTTGAGAACAATTAACATAAACAAACCCTAATTGCCCTAGCCCTACACCAGCCGAGCCACTAATCCTGCACGATTAGGCCCTAAACAAGAAATTGTCCAACCATCACCTCCAATTTTCGAGATGAAAACAGAAGGTCTTCTACCTCGAGCAAGGTCTGCATCTCCGCAAACTTCATTCGAGCCAAGCCTTTTGTTGTGTTCCTGCGACATGCTCAACTACAATCTCGCTTTCCTTAACACATTCATGAATGAAATGGTACCTCGTCTTTTTCTGCTTGCTGCAGCTATGGAAAACATGGCTCTTTATTGATGAGATTGCCTAAGTGTTGTCAATTTTCAACACCGTAAACTCCAAGTGTCTTCTAACCAACTCAATCAAGAGATTCCGCAACCACATGGCCTAACATGCCGCGGAACAAGCTTCCATGTACTCAACTTTGCAACTTGACAGAGCCATTGTGCGTTGTTTATGGGAACACCAAGTGAGCGGTGAAAGCCCATAATAGAACACGTGTCTAGTTGTACGCCAACTATCATTTTCATCAACATTATGGCTACTATCACTGAACCGGGTTAAGGCCATGTCTCTATCGCACCCGTACTTATAGCGGATCTCATATGTGCCTTTCCCATGTAAGTAACGAAATATTTGATTCACCGCGCGTAGATGTGAGCTTTTCAATTGCTGTATGTACCTGCTCACATACTCAACCACAAATGTCATATTAGACCAAGTGTACAATAGGTACCGTAGACATCCAACTACCTTGCGGAAGGCTGTAGGATCTAGGTCTTCTTCATCCCCAACCTTAGATAACTTCAGGTTTAGTTTGATGGGGATGACATGATCAATTCAATTCTCCATTTTCGTCTCTTGAAAGATCTTCTGTGCATAAGCCTCATGCTTAATTGTAATGCCATCCTTCCTTCCAGCCCAAGGTAATAAGTCAAATTCCCCAAATCCAACATCTCAAAATTCTTGGACATCGCTATTTGAATCTCCTAATCAAATCCAAGATTGACCTAGAATCTCTTTCGTAGCATCATGTTCTTTCTCTTTCTCTTTGGATGGAGGCTTTGCGTTTGGTGGTTCTGCAACATCGGGTTGTTCTGCGGTTTCAGTTCTAGTGCATCCTTAACAACTAGACCACCTCCGGTATCGATAATTCCATTTTTGTCAACCAAAAACATTCTAGGTTTGAATTGGTTAGTATCCCTCTCGTTGGCTTGTCGCAGTGCAACTTTTATCCTTCGCAAAGTCGCGACATTGACTCACTATGATCTTCAGGTTCCGTGGATCATAGAAGCGGTATGCAGTAGAGCCACGCTTGCTTCCCATGTATACCAAGCACCTTGACCAATCATCAAGCTTTTGCAACCCATGCCTACTCATCTTGATGTAAACTAAACAACCAAACACTCTTAAATGCTACAAATAAGGTTTCTTCCTTTTCAGCATCTCGGACAGTGTCACATTAGTCAACGTGCACACAGTAACCCCGTTAATTATGTATGCGAAGTGTGTGACTGCTTTATTAGTATTAATGGTAATAATAAAATAATAATGCAGGTGACATAATAAATACTCCATTTGACGTGAATTTATCATCATAATCAATATCCTAAATTCTCGACAACTTTTATTTGTTTGCACATTTTGTTCACTTTTTGATAAAATAAAATATTCATTTAACATTTTGTTTTATTAAAGTTTTAATGTTATTTTGAAATTTGTTATATTTTTATTCTTTTTTATACCAATTTTTAACTAAAAAAATTTCAAAAGAAATAAAATTTTATACATTATTTAATATAAGAGAAATTGACGATTATTCTAAGACGGGAATATTGTTTTAATAAAAAAGGTTAAAATGTTAAATAGTCGTTTTGATGTGTAAAGTTCCAAACAGATATCTTCAAAATGAAGAAAAGTTCAAAATTTTTTTGAAGAATAACGGATGAGTTTATGAGTGGAGTTGTATGCTTGGTCCATAAAAAATGTGAAGAGAGAAATACAAGTAAGGCTCAGTGGTGCGTAGTGGGAATGCTTAGCGGGAAGGGCCACGTGGTGCAGGAATGAAAGGGGAACACCCCACCTCCACGCAAGAACGGAAAAGGTGGGAATCCCTTCCTGTTTTTCGCGTTTGCCCTTTGACAGTCATTTTAATTTTTTACTTTTGTTGAAAGTAACCGTTGGGAATAAAAAATTAAAATTAAAAAATTTCACTATTTAAATACTCCCTCCGTCCCAAAAAGATTTACACATTTCAAAAAAATTGTGTCCCACAATCCCTTACCCATTTCAATTAAAAAACCACTTTTACCCCTTACATTTTCAAACCCTACCTATCACATCATACCTTTTTCCTAATAATCTACACATCACATCCTACTTTTACCCATCACATCAAGGGTATTTTTGGAAAGTCAACACAAAATTATCCCTCCCTTAATTTCAACTTTAGTCAAAATGGGTAACACTTTATGGGACGGAGGGAGTACAACACTCCACTCATCTTTTTTACACGACTTCCCATCCATTTCTTTGAATTCTAGTAGTATTTTTGTTGAATATTTTTCACATTTCTAAGTACCATGGATCCATCCCAACCACTAGTGTCTTCCTCCGATTCTCCCTTTTCTTCATTTGCGGCTTACACTCAAGGGTCGAGTTCATTCCAAATACAATAATTTCAAGAATGGCAACAAATTCAGTGGCAACAATTTCAGAACCAATGGCACCTGTACGTCCCATGGCACGCCACCACCGCATGTGACTGCTCACACACAAGACGTTCCTTTCGATATCGAAGACGATATCGATGAGGTTGTGCCCAATACAAAACGACCTAAAAAATCTAAAGAGAAGGGAAAACTTGAAGGGGGACCAAGCACGGCTCCAAAATTTTAGACCATGACCGAGGAGGAAGCGTAAGCCAATGCTTGGGTAAACAATTCCACTGACCCGATAAGAGGTGCGCTTAACTTGATCTAATTTTTTTTAGCGAAATTTAGTTTTTTCATTATATATTATTTTTTCTTTATTTTTTCCCCTTTTTTAGAGAGAATGCTCAGACGAGCTACGGGCTTTGGGCTAAAGTCACCGACAAATATCATGAGTTGATGAACTCAAAGCCGTACCGCCTTGTTCACTCCATAGCTTTGAAGTACCGCGGTATGAATAACAAATTCATAAATTTAGCGGTATCTATCACAACATTTACCTAAATCGTGTGAGCGGTTTGAGTGATCAAGACGTGTTGTAGCAAGCACTTGATAAATATCAGGCATAATTTTCTTCTTCATTCCTGCATCTTAGGGCGTGGAACATCTTCAATGGATGTTCTAAGTGGGCGCCCGTTCCAAACGAGGTCGTCCGAGCAAAGCGATCCAAAATGTCCATGTCGGGTGACTATAATCCCCACATGTCTGATACGCGTTGGATGCCAAGTATAAGTGACGATATTGACGACATCCCAACACCACTGGAGCTAGAATGACCCATCGGGAGGGATCAGGAAAAGAGAAGGATCTTCCCGCATGGCGGTCGAAACCTTGGTTAAAGGGTTTTGGTGTCTCAGCAGTTCGTTGTCCGCCTTTGCTGAATTCCAAGCGCAGAGGCTTCGGGTTAAACAACAAGCGAGAGCGGAGAGGCTTGAGAAAAGACGCAAAGAAAAATCGGAGCAGCTTGCCCTCGAATGCCAATGTCTAGAGCAAGAAGACTTCAAAATCATGAGCACCGATGTTGATAATCTTGGTCCAACGGAGCGTACGGTGGTGATGAGGATAAAAGATAACATATCCTGGAGGTGGCTTGGAGGTGCGGCGAGTGACGGCTCAAGCGAGGATGTTTAGATTTTTTACTATATATTATTATGTTTATTTTTATTATGTATTGTTATATTTTCCCTTAACAAAGTATTGTTTACGTACTGTTGATGTATTTCTTATTTTAAATTTAATGAAGTGTTCAATTATTTTAAGTTTAATAAAATAGGAGTTTTAAATAAATTTTTATTGTTTTTATATATTTAGTTTAAATACATAAATTAAAATAAATATTAAAAAATAATATTAAAAATCAAAGGGCATTTCGCTGAGAGGGGAAGTGAAGGTGAAGGAAAAACTGAATGAGACTTGATGCTGATCCTTTGAGGCACGGTTAAATCTACTTAGGATAACAGCCCAATTTCGCCGAACTGATTCATTCCTGAAATTCAGGTGCGAACGATTCAACGGCATAGTTTTCCGGCGAAAGGGCATGCTAAGCATGTGTATGCATATTATCTCTCTCCCAACTCTTTCTCGATCTTCTTCTTCTCATTCCACAGTTTCCCAATCTCTCTCTTTCTCTCTGGAACCAGCGATCGTATATCTCATTAGCAGGCTCTCTCCACAGTTCGCTGTTCCATGCAGCTATTTGCGATGCGATCGGAGTGGTTGTAGAGGGATACAGATTTCTGTGCAGACGCATATTTCAGATCTTCTGAAGACGTAGAAGATCTGAAGCTTCCGGAATGAGCGCGTCCAGATTCATCAAGTGTGTGACGGTCGGCGACGGTGCCGTCGGCAAGACATGCCTCCTGATTTCCTACACAAGCAACACTTTTCCTACGGTTCGTCTAACTGCCCTCCCCTTCAGTGTTATTTTTTCATTTCCGGTATTGTGAATATATTTTTACGTCAGTTTTTTTGTTTTGTTATTCCGTTTAGTCTATTGAGAAACTGGTTACTGTGCGGTCTATCTCCCTCTATCTCTTGATAAACTTCTGCTATGGACTTAATTAAATGAGTTGTGGAGCAGGGAAGAACTTTTGAGTTGTTTTGCACTTCGTGCTATTTGATGTTCAACCTGTGGACTTCAAATTTTAAACAAAATTTCCAATGCCTTCATAAAAAGGAAAGTATTTGTTCAATGGAAATTTCCTTCCTACATTATACTCCCTCCATCTCGCTAGGATTTTCCAACTGCCACTGGCGCAAATTTGAAGAGTGTGTAGTTGATGTTTAGTTTAAAGAGTAGGAAATAGTATGGACCACACATTCATTTCCTCAAATGGAAGGTGGAAATGTATTGAGAGACATCCAAATAAGGTATTTCGAAAAGCCCTAACGAGACGGAGAAAGTATGAAGTTTTGGGTAGTCAATGCAACAGTGCATCAACGGTGTAATGAAAATGGCCGCTTCAATTTTTAGAGAATAAGGTTGTGTACACCTTGCCCCTAGACTCTAACGGCATTGGGCTCAAACAAGGTTTCTTTTGTTGTTGGACATGTGATTCACATTGAATTGCTTTGCTCAATGATTCCTATAGACAAATTATATAGGAATATTGGTATATCTAATGCAATGAGCAACATCCCGTCAATGTCATGATAGTAGTAGTATATATATTGAAATTTCTGAAAGTTGTGGATCTTGCATGCTCATATAAGTAAATTGTGGGCTTTGATTATTTCTTTAGGATTTCGATGCAGATTGTTTTCAAGAACATTTCTGCATGATGCAGCGTGTGCAAACAATTCTACTTAGATGCCAATCGTAACTCCTTTTATTCATAATGTTCTACAGGATTACGTTCCCACTGTATTTGACAATTTCAGTGCCAATGTAGTTGTCAATGGGGCTACAGTTAACCTTGGGCTGTGGGATACTGCTGGTAACTATCTCAAAGGCTCTTATCAGTGTTGTGTAATCCATAAATCTTGATATCTTCCAAACTTGTAAAACTATACGTAGTACTGGTATTATTATTTTTATCTATAAAGTACAGTGAATTCAGCTGAAGAAGTTCATCTGCTTATGTTCTTGTATGTTTAGTTTAAGGAGTGAGTTTTACTTATTAATATAGGTCTAAGCTTCTTATACTTAAACAGGACAGGAGGATTATAATAGATTAAGACCGCTGAGTTATCGTGGAGCTGATGTTTTCATTTTGGCATTTTCTCTCATTAGTAAAGCCAGCTATGAAAATGTATCCAAAAAGGTGCGGAGTTAATTTCTGAATAAATTTGTATCTTTCATCCCTTTTTTTCTTGTTTGTCTTTGATTGCTTGAAAATTGATTTGGACATTGATAAATCTTGTTCCAGTGGATCCCTGAGTTGAAACATTATGCCCCTGGCGTGCCAATAGTTCTTGTTGGAACTAAACTTGGTGAGAAATACATTCTTCATGTTCTTTTCAAGTATTAAGTACTGGGTGCATGTGGTGTTAAGCGCATATATGATAGCAGCTCAGTTTAACTAGCTTTGTATTGAAAGTGGTTGCCCATGTTCCTTTCACCAGAGAAGTTTATCATTTTTTATGTGTTTTATTGCTTCGTGCTTATGTCAATGGATAGTCTACTATGGAGTATTATCTATGAATTTTACTTTACCTGACAGAATCAATTTGCTCTGTGTATTGATTTGATTTTCGAGTCCTTTCTATGTGGTATTGCCTTTCAATTTGGTGCTTTCTATGTCAACAGATAGTCTACTATGGAGTATTATCTATAAATTTTACTTTACCTGACAGAATCAATTTGCTCTGTGTATTGATTTGATTTACCATCCTCCCACTATATATTGTACTCAGACCTTCGTGATGATAAGCAGTTCTTTGTAGACCATCCTGGTGCTGTTCCGATAACTAGTGCTCAGGTAATTCTGTTAAATTGCATACAATGGAGGGAGATATTATCTACCCTTGTGACCTTTACAGTTCTGCTATTTGATTTGCATAGGGAGAGGAGCTCAGGAAATCGATCGATGCCTCAGCCTATATTGAATGTAGTTCAAAGTCACAGCAGGTTTGTATTTTTTGGTACTGTATATTCATTGAAGCTGTTTATGGACAGACCATTGTCACTGAAGTTATTGTCTATGAAGTAAAAAGCAGGACCGTATGGTTCGACTAAGAAAGTAGTCCAGTCACTATCATTGAATGAGATCCAACTGGTTAAACCTACTGGTTTTATTCATTCTTGGTTGTTACTATATGGTATTCTTTGTTGCAGAACGTGAAAGGAGTGTTCGATGCTGCAATTAAAGTTGTGCTCCAACCACCCAAGCAGAAGAAAAAGAAGGGAAAATCTCAGGCCTGCTCCATTTTGTGATCAACATATATGTAGGTCCAAGAATATTCCGATTTACGCTATCCTCAATGAATTTCCCTTTTATTTGCCTTTGTTTCCGGTCCTCCTCGGGTGTGACATGAAGCTCTTAAGTGCCATGGTCACATGTTGCAATGATGAAAAACATTTGATTTTCTTTATTAATGATGACAAACATGATTTAATGACTAACGTTTAGGACAGTGGTATTGCCTTTCAATTTGGTGCTTTCTATCCTCAATATTGAAAGTTTTGTAGTATAATTCTACAGTCAATTTGTGGAAGCCTAGGTATCTGTACTTTTACCTAAATGGTGCATAAACATTGTCCAAAGTTGATGGGCAATGCTAGGAGTACATCAAAATGAGGTATTCTATTTGTACATCAAGTTTTCACAGACACACAAAGACACGCAATATTTGTACATGCACAGATATTGTGTGTGAATGCTTGGTGTACCCGATTTTGGTGTACTGGTAGGTTAATTCAAAGTTATTTCGTTAGGTAGTCTCTTCTTGGACCATTCCCACGTGGGGAAATATTGCATGTTTTTTTTGTTGCTCCCCACCGGTGTGCTACCTATTCTCATTTTTTTGTTTTATTTTGTCTCCATATAGAAAAATTCCACAGCAATTTATGGAGAAAGTGGGTGCAGGGGTTGAGAGAAAAAAAAAACTCCTCATCATTGGGAAGCATTAGACAAATTTCATAAAAAAATGATGTGGAGAAGAGGGAAAACGTAGGGAGAGGTGAAGAATTTTTTTCTATCGGCTAACAATCTGAGGTATTAGGGCCTCTTTTGTTTTTAGTTGAAGGTAGTGCCTAGACCTAACAAAAATTATCTCTAACTTGTTTCTGACTCAAGATGTGAGCTGAAAATATTGATTTTTAAACAAAGGCTTTGTTGACTGAACCTGAATATGACTGTACACGAAATGACCTGCTAAAAAAGGGATAAGTCTGACCGAATTTGAACCCAACCAGATCAACTTGCTAAAGTGAGATTTTTTGAAAGTCATGTACTTTAATACAAGCATGAAATATAATATGATAAAACTTTTATTTGGCAAAATAGACCTAGACCTGATAACCCGAAACAGAATCTGAAATGACATGAAAACTGAAGAATCGAACACCCAAAGTGATCCGAACTGCACCGAATGTATTTAGGCTTGATCCAGATCTAAATCCGATTGAACCCGAACTGGTTAAACCCAGAATCAATTGAACACGAAATCAATTAGACCTGAAATCGATTAGACTCGAAACCGATTAGACCTAAAATCGATTACACCGATATTGTTCATGTTCAAAATAAATTAAACTCAAATCTAGTCAAACCTAAAACTTCATTAATTTATGTCTTTCGAAGGAAAGCATATTCGAGTTAAAAGTACAACTGATTTCATGTACAAATGTTTTAGTCTGTATTTTATTACTTAAACTAAGGTGATTGTCTATTTTTATAAGAGTATATATTTAATTTATAGTGACATCGTAACAAACATTGATGGATATACTAGCACATTATTGGTGATACTTGTATATATAGCCCCCTTTACACATAGGGAGGGGAGGCTACACACAAGGCTAACATTAGCAACTCTTGATACCAAGAGATTTAATCTGAAACTAGTATAAATCCAAATCGATATAAACTCAAACTAGTACAAACTCCAACCGGTATAAACCCAAATCGATATAAACCCGAACTGATATTGAACCGAATAGAAAATGAATTAAACCCGGAACAAAACTAAACCGACGTGAACCCGATTATAACATATATCTGAAACAAACCCGAGCCAAAAATATTTGAACCGAAACTGTAACACCCCAACTTGAACAGTCTCATCGACTATTCCAAATTGGAGAGTTAAGAAAAACTACTAATTTTAGATAAAAATATCATATGAGCATTTATTAGAAGTAGCTGAAGCGAGTTTAGAATACAATATGTTTGTAAACATTACGTCATGACAAATACGAACTTTTTATTTAAGTAATATATTTATTCAAATAAAACACATAACCGTCTTTAAGAATACAGATTAACTTGTCATGTCTAGTACTTCCACTCGTTCTAGCTCCATCACCTACGTACAGTAAAAACCAAAATAATGTGCGCTCATCGTATTCGGTAAGTGGTACAAAATAATATAGGATGGAATCTCGTAAAAATATTATTTTTTGAAAAACCAATATCTAAATTTATGGTCATCAAATATTTTTATTTCTACAGAATAAATTTCAATATATGGAACTATATAGATATAAAGTTTGACAAAAAAAAAATTATAAAGTATTTTTATCAAACTATTGGGATATGGTATTCAATTTAACGACATACACTTGGGGTCTCCGAGTGCAGCCCTGAGAAATACTGCTTTTGGGCATCATTCCTGCAACCTTGGCCAATGGTTCGGCCAATGGTTCTATACATGTATACGATGAGCATTGATGGGGGTCTCCTATCGTTGCTCTCAAATAGAAGTTTACTATTGTTAACCCCGTGCTTCGCACGGGCTCGTATGCATTCTAAATTTTTGATATTCCATAAATATAATTTTATTTATTTTACTTTTCTAATAGTAACATAATATGTGTTAGATGAATATTTTTTAACTCTAATATATACCTTTTTTCAAATAATATAATTTAAATATAGATGTACATTGAGTAAAGATTCTATAAGTACTTTCTTTAATAGTAGTAAAAGAGAAATGATTTATTGTTTTTAAAATCTTATAAAACATTATTTTTTAAAACATCGATAAACTTAAAAAATATTTTATAGATATATTTTAATTATGTAAACAAAATATGTTTTAAACTAGTGGAATATATATTGGTATGTTTATTTACAAATTAAACAAAATTTGTATACAAAACTAATGGCCATTATTGAATGAAGTACTAATGAAAATGGTTTTAATTAATAAAACAATATTATAAAAAATGGACTAATTAAATAATGATACATCATTAGAGAATGTATATGTGGAAATATGTATGTGTGTGTGTGTGTGTATACATACATACATACATACATACATATATATATATATATGTATATATATATATATGTGTGTGTGTGTGTATATATATATATATATATGTATATATAGATTTTGGTTCAGGTGAAAATGCAATCTAATGAAAGAAAATAAGAATGAATCTGGTGCATTAGATTGGGAGATCTAAGGGTTAGAATTGCATCAAAATTAGGTGCACCAAGATGGTTTGAAAATGCATCATGTCGAAATGCACCATAATCCTTTGAAAATGCACTATCTCAAAATTGGAGTGCAGAATGGAATCTAAGCCGCACGATGCATCAGATCCAAAGGCCAGATTTTATTCTTATTTCTTTCACCAAGGTGCATTCTCACTTGAACCAGCCCCTATATATATATATATATATATATATATATATATATATATATATATATATATAAAAGAAAGTTTTATTAAAAAGGAAGTGCAAGGTACAGAGGGGGGTGGCCAACCCCACAATAGGCCAAAAGGAGATCCAAACCAAGAAAAGGAGAACAAGAAAAAGCTGCCAAGTAACTAAACATAAAAGGAGAAGCTGACAAAAAGCTTAAAATAAAAGAGAGGAGCTGGATTTAAAATCGTCCTAGGCAGAAACCCATCCAGCTGTATCCATTTCATCGACCCAACTGCATATATTGAACCTCCTGTAGTTCTTTTACCCAAAGATCACAACCAAATTTACTGTCCATTCTCCATCCTTTCCAGCCTATCAAGGATAAGAGTACAAAAGTTTGAAAACAAAGCTGTCTAAGTAGGACCCTGCTAGTACAAATGATAAACTATGCTGCTCCAACCCTGAAGCTCAGTCTCTAGACCAGAACCCTTAGGCACACTCTAAATAGAAGGCCTAATCTTCAATTTAAAACCCTGAAAAACCATTTTTCCAAACCCCTGGAATGGTGCAAGAGTAACCCATCTTCAATTGGCCCTTGAGCTATTAAGACAACAAACATAAAACAAAACTAATTCAAATACCAACTTCTTTTTTCTTGAATGCAATGAAAGGAGTTAACCAATTTTAGTTTGTGACTCTTCAGCCTTAATATCAGAGACAGCAACTCCCCTTATTAGAGAAACTAAACCAAAGTTATTGTGAGTCACCTCTGTTATGTGCCATAACAGTATCAGCATCATAGTTTACATAGGCCAAAAAGATTGGATATTTTGTGCCCTTGATGTGAACTAAATCCACATTTTCCATACTCTTCACTATCTCTCTTGTAATCATATACGCTGTCCCTGTTTCATCCTGAAGGAGACCCTTCTGTAGTAGCTCCAAAAGACCTTTTTGCGCAAGCTTTTCGCGAATATATTCTTCTGTTTCTCTAAAAACCGCCTCAAAGTAGCTCTGAAAGATTGGGGCGAATAGCTTGTCCACCTTAATGGCCTCCCTGGGTAATTCTTCTTCTTCGGCATCCCCTTCCTTAGGAGAATTTTGAGAGTTAGTCATGGCAGCCCTTGCTATATCTATCCCCAGAAGCCCTGAGGAGATTGAGACAGTTTTCGCTATCTTTTCCTCCCCGAACCTATCTATGAGTTGTTCTTCCCGCCTATCTTGTTCCCTCTGAATTTCCTCTTGCTCAATCCTGCCAGATAATACCTCGTCCAGTTCCTTATCATTGAGGAAACTTTCAAAGAATTTAAGGGCTTTATGAAACAGATGAATGCCTTTGTTCCCCAAACCCGCTGGTATGAAAATCTGAGAGTGAGAACCCTCTTTAGACTGTGATAACCGTATAAACTCGCCAAAAGTGTTGGAGTCCCAAAGAACATTTAAAGAGGAATCTCCCTCATACCAGGTTAATGACCAGCCTTGTCTGTGGCTTCCAAGATTATCAATTAACCATTTACCAGCAGATTTAGAGACAGAGATGGTCTGAGATATACCTCTTTTTTATTCTGAAATTTGGAGAAGCCCTGCGGAAGAACTGAAATTGAAAGCCTTACTTTCTATGAGAGCTGAGACCCTACCTTGCCCATCAAGATTTGGTCCGTAGTATCGCAGGTTTGAGGCTTCCATTCGATTTGAATCCCACTTTTCGCAGTTCCTGAATCTCCTTGGGCTAGTCGCTGCCCATCTTTTTGACCATGGTTTATATTTGCCGCCGTGGAAAGAAGAGAAATAGGGATTCCTTCTTGGGGAGTAGTAGTTCCACCGTCGATCCCCATCGTATAAATTCCTTCGGGAATTTGAACCCCTACCTTCGTAATTCCGCCGGACAGTGGGGGCGTAATTCCGCCGCCGGGATCCCCTTTCCCTCTATAGAATCCCCATCATATATATATATATATATATATACATACATACGTACATACATACGTACGTACATACATACATACATACATACATACATACATACATACATACATACATACATACATACATACATACATACATATATATATATATATATATATATATATAATACGGAGTATACTTTAGAATGATCAAATATATGTATATAAAATTGTTTTAAAATGATATGTTTTATATAAAATATAATTAAAGTAATGTTTTTTAATACTAAAATATAATATTTGTTTAATGTAATACAATAAAATGTGTTAAAAGATCTTTTTAAATAATTAAATGAACCAATGAAATTCATCCATCTCATTAATGAATGCACATGTGGCATGTCACATGTCAACACTTCAAAAAATTAAACCAACTTTACATATACTCCCTCCGTCTCACTCTCTTTGTCCACTTACCTTTTGGTACATTATTCAATGCACTTCTTTAATTCATTTTATCTTGTAATTTGTATATTAAAAAATTATAGAAATTATATATTAATAATCTATATGTCAAGACAAATCAAACAAGATCACACATGACTCTATTTAGGCTTACACATTGAGAGAATTTGATGAGTCAAAGCGCTTAGATGAACAGTTACAAAAGTCAAAAGTGGACAAAGAGAGTGGGACGGAGGTAGTATATAGGATAGGATAGGATATATAATAGGATATGGATCTCAAGTTGTTCAAGCTTATGATAATATTCAAAAGTATAAATTTTGAATACTATTACATATACACGAAATCATTTTTACATGTGTCAAGAGTTTATAAGAAGTCACTTTTAAAACTTTAGTTTTAAAAGTATTAAAAATATCAATTTGAGAGTAAAATACTACTTTGCATATTTTGGGAAAAAATAACTTCATATCATACAAAGAGTAATTTTATAAAAAGATTTTTACAAATATAGTGGTAGAACGGGATGTCTGGGCAATATGATTTTGTACAAACCTCAATATCTCAAGGGAGTCAAACCACGTAGTTCTAGCCAATTGTTTTCGTCGTTTTCATCAATTCTTTCAAGAGTGATTCGAGAGCTATACCTATAATAATTTGGCATACTTTAAAAATATTGGATCAACATGAAATCGGGTTTAAAACAATACTTACGAATACGTGAAGACCCGTAGCAAAATTTATGATTTTCTCTATTTCGCTTCAACAAGTATACTTCCCACAATTTTTGCCATATCCCGGTCATTACAAATTGGAATGAGGTAATTCTAGCGGAATCAGTTAAAAGAATCGCAAGGCCACGTTTTTTGTGAAGAGGCTGTTAGAATTATAGGAGGAAGAACACTGTGAAGCAGTGTTAAATGAAGAAATTGATAGTATAACGAATCGCGTACGAAACGCTTTCAGATCAAAGTTATTCCGGGGTGTACGAAATACTTTAATCGGATAAGACGTTAATCAAGAATAAGCACACGAAATCTGTCCCTCAACCCATACCACGAGACTCTATATATTTTATAGAGTCGAAAATACTTATGATCGGACATGAACGTTCGCGTAGATGTACGCGTACGTTCGCGCGAGAAGAAGAAAGGCGCAAGTTTCAACGAAAGGTCTCCTGCGGTTTTAGGCTCTATTTCGACGTTATCCATTGTGTACGAGTCCTTTACCGTTTTCGGACTCCAGCTCGACCCCGGCCAGGGGCTCTACCCCTTGGACCACGCCAGGGGCTGCCGCCCCTTGGACCTCGCTACCCGGGGGCTGCCGCCCACGGACCCCCGCAGTGAATTTATAAATCGTTGAACGAGCGTGCACTCCGCGCCTCCTAACTCGTTTGACAACGTCTATTTAAATTCTCACTACGCCAAAAACAGTATCAGACGACTGTTGATTAACTACTGTTAATGGAAACACAGTAGTTGGAAAAAAACATACTACTGTAAGTTTTTCTTGGCAACAGAACAGTAGTCTAGCTATTCTGCTTTAAAACTGTTTTTAAAGTTTTGAGAAATGGTAATCTATCACTAGTTGTCTGTGTCCATTCAAAATACAGCTTTTGTTACAACAGTTGTCAATAACAAGTTAAGAATACTATATCGAAACAATAGTCTGGTGTTCTAGTCTAGAACTGTTTTTAAACTTATTAGACACAGTTATCTATCGCTAGTTGTCTGTTTCATATGGTTTTTTTGCCACTATTGTTTCTAATGGGAATAGAAGATTCTTTTGTAATAGTAGTCTATGAAGTAAGGGTAGATCTGTTTTTAAAGTTGTGAGAAACGGTAATCTTTTACTAGTAGTCCGTTTCATCTAAAAATACAGTTTTTGTTGCCACAGTTGTCAAAAATTAGTTAAGACTACTACTTCTAAACAGTAGTCTGGTTTTTCAGTTTAGAACTGTTTTTAAACTTATAAGAAATAGTAGTCTATTGTAAGTTGTATGTTTCGTATGGTTTTGTTTTGCATAGTTGTTTATTATAAGAATATAAGACTCCCTTGTAACAGTAGTATATTTATATAGCGTAGAACTATTTTTAAATTTCATAGAAACCGTAATCTATTACAAGTTGTCTATAATAAATTCAGAATAGCCTTTTTAAACAGTAGTTAGACTATTAAGCCTAGAACTATTTTTAAAGTTTTGAGAAACCGTAATGTATTACTAGTTGTGTGTGTCACACCGTTTTTTTTCACGGTTATCTATAATAAGTAAAGAAAACTGTTTTTAAGAGGATTGTGCGTATTAAACCTAAAACAATTTTAAAAGTTAAGAATACTCGTTCTAAACAGTAGTCTAGCTCTTAAGCCTAGAACTATTTTAAAAGTTCAGAGTAACGGTAATCTTTTTTACAATGAAAATGGATACGCTCTCTAACTTTACTTTCATACTTTTGGATAATATATGTACAACAATCAAATAAACATTGTTTCAAACAATTATATTGACATAAAAAAATAAACACTTCCATTGAAACGAAAGAAAAAGTACATGGACAGGGTACTGTCCCGCTAGACACAAAGGGAATTAGAAACCCATACAATCAATCAATCTCACATCATAAAACCAAAAAACAATAAGAAGATGGCGAGATGAAAATAAGAGTACACAAAATTTATTAAAAACAAAACTAAGAGTACATTGGCTTGCTTCAATCCAAAGTAGAAAACAAACAAAACGCAAAGAATGAAACTCCATATTCTAAAATTACTCAAATTAAAGAATACAGACCAAATCTTAAAGGTAAGAGTGCCAATTACACAAAAATTGGTTTTTAGCCATGGTTTCCCCAATGACTTAAGCTTGACCATTTGCCTTTGTGGAAGAGGGAACAAAATTATCACCCCTCTTAGACTTTCGCACTGATGGTTGCTTGGCATCCTAGCTTTGGCATGACAGCATCACCATTACCATCCATAGCAGATTCATCACTCTTCATACATGAATCTTTGACCTGCCATTGAAAACAACCAAGGTAATAAAGTAAATGAAACACTAAATGTAAATTTTCTATATGTAGAAATCTTAAAAATGTTAAGGCTAATGAATGCGGGGCTATAAATTGGTGTGTTTATATATGGAAATTTCATATAAGGAGTCAAAATTTAAAGACCCAAATTTGAAGATCCAAAATTTCAAATGAGGGGCTGCCCTTCAATAGCCAAATTTGGATTTCCAATTTATGAAGAGTACGCAGAGTATCCCTAACACGAAGCCAAGCACATCTATCCAAAGTATCAGAGGTAATCAAATTGAACAAAAAATATAAATTTTAAACCAGACTAAGCTGCAATGTTGTTGTCTACAATCCATAAGCAGTCAACTAAATGGAGAATTGAATAGCCCAGTCATCAAATTCAACCCTAATAGAAACCCAGAAAGCATAGCAAAGCTCAATATGTAATAACTCATCAACAAGAAAATGAATAAAGTACTCAACATGGCATGCTTTTTTCATATTTTAGTTGTTCCTTAAGAAATATCACATTCCCCATAAGTAACTTTTAGAATGCTTGGATTTGTTATACTTAGATAACCTCAACAACTCGTAACAAAACATCAAAAACAGGCAGCAGTAGGTTGAGGGAGGAGTGGAACGTTTACCAAGCCAGGCAGTAATTCCAGCAGCAATGCACAGCCCAAAACCACAGTTTAATCCACTCCACCACCCCAAAAACAGCAACACCACAGTAGCATCTAGTGGGAAAGAGCAGGTGATTCCAAACTCAACTTCAACAGTCCATGGCAGCAGCATTTCCAGCCCCATACTTCCCAAGGTACAACTGACCAAGATGAAACCACCAAAAACCAAAAGAACCTCAAGAAGTATGTGTGCCATCCCATCCCTCAAGAAGACTGAGTTCAGCAAACAAACAGCACAATGGAGTATGCTATTCGAAAATGGCAGCACTCTAGATATACCTTTAAAAACAACA